ACATGAATTTAAGCTTATATTTGTTGTTTTATAGACTTTTATATAAGGCTCGATATAAGGGGAATTCGATTTAAGGGACATATTTTCCATTTCACCAATCATTCGCTTAAATTGGAGATGACCTGTATTTGTCTGCTAATTGTATTTAAGAAAAATGTTTTACTTTTTTTATGTCCACAAATGGATAGTAAAGTGAAATATTGTTTACAATATATGACATTAAAACAGTTGATTATAATGGAGAGTAGTTTTAACACAAATATAGAGTATTTTGTATTGAATGCAATACAGAAGTTACACAATATTTCTATTAGAAATATAATTAAATAAATTATAATATTATTAAATGAATTGTTTTAATAATAGAAAAGTTTGGATAGAATTTAAATGTCAAATAAAGTGTTAGAAAAAACAAAATTCAGTACAAAAGTTATGGCAAATTATAAAATTTATTATAAGTTAAATAAGAAATAGATTCACAAATCAATTGATTAATTGCAATAAATCTAATGATTAGTTCACAAATAAATGGATTTTGATAGAAATGTATTGACAGTAATTACTAATTGGTATAAAAATAACTGTATATTTAGTTTACTGTATTAAAGTTACATGTTTTGTATACAATTCACTCAAACTATGCCAACAATCAAACGGTGATATTATGTTTAGTTTCGGGCATTTGTTAAATAATTCTTGTGAACAATATGTGTGAAACCATTCGTTCATATCATTAGAAAAAATGAATACTTTTGTCAAATGTTTTAATTGTGACAAACAATTGATGGCCTTTTCATTCACTTCTGACTTCTTTATGGAAACAACTCTTAGTTTTGGTAAATGTTTGTCGATATCAATGAAGAAATCGGCGCCAATTAAGTGACCATTTATTGAATATATCACTAAATGTGTTAATCGTTTGCATTTAGACAATACTTCACTTGTTATGTGAGGTCTGTCTCTAACATATGAGATAATCTTCAGTCGTTGTATTTGTGGGAAGTATTGATTGATAATATCAGGCATTATATACGACAGATTGACTGATATATGAAGAGTTAGTTCCCGTAGTTTACGACAATTGACGCCAATTTGTTTCATTGCATTCAATGAAAACAATTGGTTTGATTCAAATGAAAGCAATAATTTCCACATTTCTCTCATTTGTGTCAATCCTTTCATTAATATCTCAACTGATCTCTCGTCACACGAGTCGTCGATTCTAACGTCAATTGATTTCAAACTATTTCTATAGTAATCAACAAAAGTATGGATTCTTGTCGTGTCTTCGGGTCTATAAGTGAAGCGAAAGTCAAACATCTTTTTAAAGTAAACTTCATTTTCATCGCTAAATATGAATGAAAACAAGTCATTCAAACTCATTGTCTGGAAATACTCGTGATTATTGCGTTGAATGCGATAAATGGCATTCAATTGAAGCAAATTCTCACAACTCTTCATATTCTTCACGAGTGATGTCTGTATTAACTGATCATCAGTTGTGCGACAATCGATTGATTTTAATTGTTTGGAAAACTTTGCGAAAAATTTATCAATCATTTCAACACTAATTTCTCGCCAATCAATAGAAAGTGATTGCAATTTATGGCAATGTTTTATAATTGACTCCAGCTTTGGATCCGTTATCTGCGGTCGGATAGCCTTAAAATGTGTAATATTTTGACATTTCTTAAGTATTATTTCAAGTGTTGATAATTTACACAATTTATAGTAATTTCTGTGAGAAATAACTGTTTGTGTATTGAATACAAGTCTTCGCCACTGTTTTGATAGACATTCACAACGGAATCGGTCTTCAAATGTGANTTGAATACAAGTCTTCGCCACTGTTTTGATAGACATTCACAACGGAATCGGTCTTCAAATGTGAGGAAAGACAACAACTCTTCGCACAAATCGTCACCAAATCTATCGAAAGACTCTTTGCTATAAATTTGAGGCATTTTTCTTAAAATGATTGAAACAATCAATTAATAAAACATTTAAATCACTATTCAATCAACACTCAAATGAATTGTACGATAAAAATCAAAAACAATTACACTTTTTTTTGAAGATTTCTTGAGCTCTTTTTAAATTTCACTGAATATTGTGTTTAAAATATCGCACTTTTTAACCAAAAATATGTGAAAAACAAAAGGATTACTCCTTTTATCAAAAGATAGATATAATTAAATCAATAGAAATAATAAACAAAACTGTTTGTTGAATACTTTAAATATATGTTTACATAAAACAGGGATGCAATGGATTTGGTGTTAATCTTCTAATGCCTTTTAATGTATGGATTTGATGGTACAGTCGTTGACCCGGATATCAATGAGATATAAATTATTAATTTCAATACAAATTAATTAATTACAATAACTACTAATTTATTGTTAACTATAATTGTAACACAGATTTATACAAATATACAGTCTTTTCAAACACTATAACCGCATATTTCTGTGTATAGTCTCTACCAATTGATCATTCATTACAAGTTGTTGTAATTTACAACAATCATTGCCACCAAAAACAGTGTCACAAATGCTTTGAATAATCACTTCCAGAATGTCTTGTTTTGCACACAATTTAGCACTAAATCACAGATAATGGACACAAAGAGTTGAGTCTCTTCTACACAATGGCATCAATTGTCACAAAACTGTTTATTAATGTCCGGCAAAACAAGTTTCCCGATCTTCGGCTCCGATGGCGACCAATGACTCGGATTTGCCATAAATTTGTTGTATTTGTCGTTCAACTGGTCGTCGTTGGCGTCCATTTCAGTCACGATATGATCCGTAAGTCGTGTCAACTCTTCGGCCAATCTATTGAACGACTTCTTCAGCTCTTTGGGAGCACTGATAATGGCGTCGATATTGTCTTTCAGTTCATTTGTCGCCTCAGAGATACCGTCGAAGACTATCTGTTGCGGTGTCTTCTCTATGGCTTCAGTCGAGTGCCTTAGAGTGGGATCTGTTGACAAGAAATGTCAGTTTTAGTGCTAATTCACAGACAATAAAGTGATAAAACAGTGGCAAACCGTTGGCCACACGTATCAGCGCTTTAAAGCACTGGTCGAGTGAGTCGTCGGACTCGTTGTCCGTCAGTTGAATCTCGTATCCGATGTCGTACTCCGAGTCCTAACCGCAGATCAAGTCATCACATGATAAACAAATAGGCGTTAAAAGTATGCGTAAAACAAATGCAATACAAAACCTCATCACTTGTGGTAAAGCTATCACAGGATTGGCTGTCATTGTCGGCCATATCTTTGCCATCACTTATCAGATGATCACAAGTCGTGGCCTTCGAGGCAGAGATCGACGTCTGTGGCGGAGGCGAAGAAGTGGTTGATTGAGTAAAGCCTGTAATGAAAGACATAAACAACTCGTAAATCATTAATCAATGGATGATATGATGGCCTCAAAGAGTGTCCACTGACTTGTGTTGGCCCGCATTCTCTGGAGTTTACACCGGATTTGATCCGTATTTCTGAGATAACCCTTAGTCTGAAGACACGACTGGATGTGTCGGTGAAGCAGTCGTTTGGTAGTGAAGGCCGTGGAGTCAGTTGTGGACCAAATG